GGCCCGTTCTCAACTACGTTTTTTAGGCAAATTCTTTATTCTGGAACGGCCCGTTCCGGGCAACGAATTGGGCCCACGGCCCAGTGAAAATTGGGCTGTTACAACTTTGATTACCTTCAAGTTGTTGTTCAATTTTAACAAAATTTGATATAAACATATAAAATAATATGAACTTTCAATTTAACAGTTAAATTTACAAAATTGACATTTAATATAAAGTTATTGAGCTGTGTAATATTCTTGTTGTAAAAAAAAAATTTAACATATCATAAAATAGATAGATCTACCAATCCAACCGGGCCCTTTCTCTTCCGTTATCACCGCAGTTTTTCCAGGTACCAGTTGGGCTATGGACGCATCTGCCAATGTCGTTACATTCCAAGGAATAGGATTATCATCTTTTGTATTTTCACCAACCAACAAAACCCCGTTATCATAGATGGACAAATTGTAGTCACTTTTTATCTTCCTCCAACCAATCATGTTAACCCAATAGTGAACTTATATCAACCTGATATGTAGACATTATATAATTAGTTAGGAAATAAGTAGATTATAAGAATGTACATTATTTTAAATTTTTAAGATATGATGCATATATAAAAAGCTATATGTAAGCGAGAGTATGAAAAAAAATAAATTTTGGTTTATGTATAATGATATTAATTATATAAAGTATATTATTATTATATTAAAATTAATATTAACACGACTAGACGCTACACAACACAACTATACAATCAGCATACAACTCTGTTAACACACAGCCTACACCTCATATCTACTTCTCAACTAACAACTCATAATTATACAATCATCGCATACTACTTCATTTAACAACTTAAATCAACAAGTTTCAACACTTCATCATTTCAGACATCATACTTTTCTTTAGTAACTCGCGCCTAATATTACACATTCTACGCCCGGATCCATCTAGGTAGGAAACTCTCTTCCTTGCTCACACCCAACGTTATCCAACCCATGCTCAACGCACCTGGCATGGTAAAGCATCACATCAGTTTCATCTTAAGCAAAAAGTCTCTACCTAATTCTCATCCAACATCACTATATCAATGCCCGACGAAATCTAGACTGAGAGCTCTAGCTTGACCATGTTGGGTGCCACTCAACTTTGGACCCAACATCACCAATTTAGAGAGCTCTCAAGGTTCCCACGCCTGATTCATTCAAACCACGCTCAATGTTGTTTCAACCCAAGATGATTCTTTCTCCTCATGCTCGACACCATCAATCCTACGTTTAACGTGATCGAGACAAAGAGCCTCAGGTTAGAATAGTGCCTGACGACTTGAAGGTGCGTCCAACATAATAGTTGAGTTCTACATATGCAAAACCTAATTTTGAGCCACAACCTAAAATCCAACAAAGATTCAACACATACAACATCAAACAACACTTACCTACATCACAACCAACCTATGTATACACTCAAAATCAACATGCAACCTCAATAAACTCTAATCACCGCATTCTTGCTCAAGAATACCAAACCCTAATTAACTTTTATCCCACAACCTACTCTAATTTAATCAACAACAACCCTGAATTGCAAAGAATTCAAACAACATTCAACACCAAATCCATCTCACAAGTCCAACATACAACAATGAGAACATAAATCCAGCTTCCCTCACCTTGAATAGCTCGGGTTCGAGGTAGAAGAGAAGAAAGATTGGGCTTCGTCAAAAAATCAATGACTTGATTTGAGATTTTCACTATTTGAATCACAAACAACATAACTTAGAAAGGAATGAAAAAAAAAAGAGAGAGAGAAAAAGATTGAGAGAAAAAGAACTTACGAACCAAAGACTTTCTCTCTAGAAAGCTTGAAGAAAAGAGTTTATGAGATTCTATTCAAAATAGAAACCTTATATATTCTTTCCTTTGAAGTCATATTGAATCTCTGCCTAGAGAAATCCCTTCTCAACACTATCAAAACTCCTAAGGAATCCTCAGACCCCAAGCCTCTCAACATTGATTAACAACCCACTCAACAATATAAAACAATTAGGAGTAATATAATACTATACATTTCACAATGTTACATATAATGTTATACATTTTATGAGTTAATATTTAATTTATATATGTGATATTTATTATATTCTACACTATTAGAATTTCTCTTATTACATGCAACTTTTTCTGCGATTTTTTATGAAAAATTTGCAGGAAATGTTGTTCCTACAAATTTTTCTGCGAAATTTTATTTGCAGGTAATACCTTTATGGATAATATATTTTTGCGAATTTTAAAATTTGCAGAAAATTTTTCTGCGAAAAAAATTCGCAGGAAAGTTTCTTGAAAAAAAAATTCACAGGAAAGTTTCCTGCAAATTTTTTCGCAAGAAATTCTGCTGGAATATTTTTTATGAAAAAATTTAAAGAAATTACTATAAATTCTATCAATAATTCTTCAACTTTCAAATGCTCACAATGAATTCATGCAAAGCATTTGTTTCCATGCCTCCAACATGTGATACATAATCTTTTAAATTCTAAGATTGTAGATTACAAGCCTAACACTCAACCATACAAATCAACTTGTAAGGTAAGTGTTGCCCCAATTTATATACTTTTTAATTGCTTTATTTTCAATCGATGTGGGACTTGAAGTTTTTTTAAAATATTAAACTTATAAATTTAATTATTTTTTTTATATTTTTCCTGCGGATTAAAATTTGCAAGAAAATTCGCAAGAAAATTCGCATTCGCAAGAAAAGTTACCTGCAAAATTTTTCTATCATTTAGTAAACATTACTTGCGAATTTATTTTTGCAAGAAAATCTGCAAGAAATAAAATAAAATTTTTACAATATTTTCTGCAAATTTTTACCATGGAAATTTCTATAATCATTAAAATTGTAGCAAAATTTGTAAGAAATATCTGTAAATTATTTTTCACAAATAAATTCGCAAAAAATTTCTACGAATATTTTTTTAGGAAAATTTGCAAAAAATTTCAACGAATATTTTTTTTGTAGGAAAATTCACAAAAAATTTCTGCGAATATTTTTTGTAGGAAAATTCACAAGAAAATGACACTTTTTTTTTAGTAGTGTTATTTCTATAATTATATATATATATACATATATATATATATATTAATATATACATCATAATATATAATATAATATTATATA